TATAGTCGAACTGAACGTCTCAAACAGACAATCCAACAACACAAAATTGGAACTAATTTGAGCCCAAATGGGTCCAAATCGACGACCTGGAGCGCATTTGAAAGGTTCCACCCATAAATTGGATGACCAAACGAATTTTAAACATGACATGCTTATAGTCAAATTGAGCGGCTTGACGAGACACATCCAACAAGTCCAAGATTGTTGAATTCTGATATTATTAAGATGCTCAAATACTTGATAAACGATCTAAAATCAAGGAGTTGATATCAGTTGTCCATTCAAAACACCCCCAATATGTCTCTGATCCTCTCCCTATATTACTGGTCATGTCACTCACAAAAAAATTATAAATAAATCATTCATTGTTTGTTGACGGGGGAGGAAAGAAGGAAGAGAATGGAGGAGAAGGCGAAGAATGAAGAGAATCTGAGATCTCTCTTGCCACCAAATTCCTCCGTGACCATCGCCCGACCTCCAAATGTAATTGGTCTTACGCCCGGCGACCAATTACTATCTTACGCATGGCCGCTAATTGTCGCCAGATTTCCTCGTGATCATCATTGTCAGACTACAGTCTTTTACGACCTCCATTGCACGTCGACTACGATCTCTCTGACATCTGTCACCCTCTACTTATGGTTTTTCTGACATATGTCACTCGCCAACTACGTTCTTTCTAATCTCAGTCACCAGACAACATGCTTTCTAACTATTGTCGCCAACTGACCACAGCACTTCCGACCTCGAGCTCCGTAGCCAGACAATGATTTTTCTGATCTTTGTCACTCACCGACTATGATCCTTCCAACCTGCATCACCAGACAATGACCTTTCTAATCACCGTCACCTACCGACTATGGTCCTTACGACCTCCGTTACTAGACAACAATCTTTCTGACCATCGTCACTCGCCGACTACGATCCTTTCAACCTCTATCGCCATATAATGATATTTATGATCATTGTCGATCGTCGACCACCGTTGCTCGACTATAGTCCTTCTGACCTATATCGCTCGCTGACTATGATCATGCCAAACAAACAAACATGTTAACATTGATTATTCTAACCCCCATCATGTAATGCACTCTACATAATGTATATTTACTACATCGAGCCACCAAGGCCTTCCCCTAAGCCAGGACCTCATTTGTAATGAACTACAAACAATAGTGGATTCATTCAAACTAGGATGTGCCCCATATTTTTTACTCTTATTAAGGTTTTAATCGTCGAAACTCTTGTATCTTTTATAAACCTACCCCTAGGGGTGTCAAAATCGAGTTTCGGGTTTGGTTTGGGTCGAACTCAAAATTGACTCGGGTTTAATCGGGTCAACCCTAACCCGACCCGGTAGGGTAAACGGGTAGGAAACTCGGACCCGAACCCAGACCCGACCCATCGAGTTATCGGGTTTACCCGACTCAACGAGGCTCGCAGGCACAACGCGAGCACTCAAGTGCGCAGGCAGGCATGTGGACGTGGGAGCTTGAATGCGGGCGCGTAGGCTGGTGCGTGGACGCGGGCGAGCAGGTGGGAAGCGCGGGCACGAGCAGGCAGCGCAGGCGCGAGTGGGCATCTCGGGAGCGAGTGGGCAGCGCGGGCGCGAGCGAGCAACGCGGGCAGCGCCATTATCCGTTGGCACGATCGCAAGCGGCAACTGCGCGGCCTCGGCGGCTTCGCGAGCAGGGCATGGGAAACTGCATGGGTAGCCGAGGTAGGTGTGGGTAACCTCGGACAGCGCGGGCAGCTCATTCTAAACAGATTTCTAGGTTGACCCGGCAACTCGTCGGGTCAAACCGAACCCAAATAAAAAAAAAGTTGCCGGATTATTTTGGCTTTATAAATGTTTTTTATATATAAATATATATATTTGTACAGACAAATAATTAGATTTTTATTAAATAATTAAAAATTTATATTTAGCACATATATTTAAATTTAATTATTATTAAAAAGTAATGAATTAAGTTATGATACATTTTTTCCTCAAATTGCAACAATCAACAAATCAAAATTTTACCTGTTATAATGATCATAAAATTGATTTATCTTGTATGTTCATTCAAATTTGGGTCCTCATTTATAACCTAGGATAAATTTGGGATAGCTTTATTGCTAGTTTCCTTTTTCAAAACAATAACAACAATTTTGTTTGGCTACTATTTTTTCATTGCTTTTTAAAAAAAATTATATTGAAAAGCTATTTTTCTGTAACCAGAGTACTTTAGTTATTTTCCTCACAATAACTTTATAATTAACTTGAAATAATGCAACCATCCTAATAAACCGTTAGCCTAAAAAAATAAAATTTTGGAAGATTTACATAAATATCACTCAGTTCTTATGTATAATATCTTTTGTCATGCTCCAAAATTTAAAATAAAAAAATTATCTTTCTTTTACATTTAATTTAAATGTTTTCTAAACATCAACCAGAGTTGAATACTTTCCTATAAATAGTGAAACATAAATGATAGAAAATATAAATACATTTATTAAATTTTTACAACTTGATACAACAACAACAACAAACACAATAACATCAAGCCTTTATCCCACTATGTGGGGTTCTCTAAGAGTAAAGACACTCATCCACATGAGCATCATCATCTCCGCTACACTTAACTTAATATTATGCTTCTCTTTTAATGTCGAACATTTTGCCCTATAAAGTATTGCAGTCTCACCACCATCTTATAAAATTTTCCCTTAAATTTGAGGGATACTTTACTATCACACAACAAGCCTGATGCATTCCTCCACTTCAATCATCCAACTTGAATTCTACTAATAATATCTCAGTTATTTCACTACCACTCAGAACAATAGACCCAATATATCTAAAGCATGTACTATTATTAATAACTTGATTGACCAAAGTCACAACCCCCCCATAAGATATATTATTAATAAAATTACATTTCGTATATTCAGTTTTATATGTACTCAAATGAAAGCCTTTAGACTCTACGGTTGATCTCCATAATTCAAGTTTACCTTCAACTCCCCCTCTCTAGTCTTATCAACAAGAAGAATATCATTAGTAAAAAACATACACCATGATACAACCTCTTAAAAATGTCTACTGAGAACATCCATGGCTAAAGAAAAAAAAAAGATAAGGGCTTAAGCTTGATACTTATGTAATCCAACTAAAATAGGAAAATACATGATCAAACCATCTTGTGTTTGAACACAAATAACCACTCTTGCATGCATATCCTTAATGACTTGAATATAAGCATTATTAACCCCTTTCTTTTCTAGAACTCTCCATAACACTTCGTTTGAAACTTTATCATATGCATTCTCTAAATCAATAAATATCATATGTAGATCCTCCTTATTCTCTAGAACAATAGACCCAATATATCTAAAGCATGTATTATTATTAATAACTTGATTGACCAAAGTCACAATTCCCCCATAAGTTATATTATTAATAAAATTACATTTCATATATTCAGTTTTATATCTACTCAAATGAAAGCCTTTAGACTCTGCGGGTGTCCTCCATAATTCAAGTTTACCTTCAACTCCTTCTCTCTAGACTTATCAACAAGAAGAATATCAATAGCAAAAAACATGCACCAGGGTACAACCTCTTAAAAATGTCCAGTGAGAACATCCATGGCTAAGAAAAAAAGATAAGGGCTTAAGCTTGATCCTTGATGTAATCCAATTGAAATAAGAAAATACTTAGAACTCTTGCATGCATATCCTTAATGACTTGAATATAAGCATTATTAACCCCTTTCTTTTTTAGGGAACTCCCCATATCACTTATCCTGAATATTTTCTCCAAATCAATAAATATCATATGTAGATCCTCCTTATTCTCTCTATACTTCTCCATCAAACTTCTTAATAAATGTATAGCTTCTATAGTAGACCTACACGGCATGAATCCAATTTGATTTTAAAAAACATTAGTATCACGCCGCAACCTATGTTCCATAACTCTCTCCTATAGTTTTAAAGTATGACACATTAATTTAATTCCTCTATAATTTGTATAATCTTGTACAATCTTGTGCATTGTCTTTATTCATAAAAATAGAAATCAACACACTCGTTCTTCACTCATATGACATCTTTTTAGTCTTCTAAATAATATTAAAAAAATTTAGTAAGACAATAAAATTTTTCATCTCCTTAGCATTTCCACACCTCTAGTGGAGCCCTAGAATTTTTCAAATCCATAAACTCTCTCTAAGTTCAAGTCAAGATTAAAGCTTCCAAGCCCCCTTATTTCATGTGGAGAATTAATACAGATCTATTGATAATTTTTTTAAATAATCTTTTATTAATTTTAGTCAAAATTCTCAAAAATAATTCTTTTAGAGTGCCCATATTGATTCTATTGATTAAATATACATATTTTAACATTTAAGTGCCTAAAAAATATAATTTAAAATAATTATTTTTTAATATTTTTAAACCATACATGTAATATTAATTATTTATCTTCTATTTTGGATATTAAAATATATTCCATATATTTTATGAGAAAATTAAATTTCAAAACAAAATTTTAATGGAAATAAATTTTATATTAAATTTTGACATTTTTTTTCATTAATACCCAACAACTACCACATAATACCGTTAAATGCTGGCGTTGCTCTTATACTATTCTCGTCACCCTCCTTCAGCATTCTTTCTCCGCCATCAAAATCTGCTAATCCTGTTCTAAAATTTGCTGAGGATATTAAACTAAAATTTTGTCATGTACAGATTTTGAAATTATTGATTTTATCTTTTAAAAATCATATATGATATTAAATTAAATTTACTCTTTATATGTTATATCTATCTTAAAATAGATTAGAGATTACTTCTGATGCCTTGCAGCAGATAGCTTAAGATTGTTATATTTATTAGTTTTTTTTTTTAATAATTACCAGCAACCCAAAAAAAATTCCACTCTGTCGCAGCTCGCCATTTTTAAATCTCTGTCTTGGGACATGAAATCCCATATCACAAGAACACTAATGGCAGAGAACGAAAGCCCAAACGAAGCAGGGGCACCGCTCCACCCGCCTTCTTCAACGAAATCCACTGCCGGAGTCCTTCTCCGGCCAACTGTCGCCATCTTTTTAGTGGCACTCACTACAACCCTCTCCCTCACTTGCCTCCTCATTCGTCTATACGCTAAAAACTGCAGGCGGCACGGCGCCGCCAGCTCTTCCAACGGTATGCCAACGTATGGCACGGGAGCCGCCGTGCAGCGAACGTCCGGCGTCGACCGGACAGTGATCGAGTCTCTACCGTTTTTCCGGTTCGGTTCGCTTCAAGGGGAGAAGGAAGGAGCAGAGTGCGCCGTATGCCTTGCCCGGTTCGAGGCCGCGGAGCTCCTCCGCCTTCTTCCGAAATGTCGACACGCCTTCCACGTTGACTGCGTCGACGCCTGGCTTGAGTCGCATTCCACGTGTCCATTATGTCGGTCTCGCGTCAACCCTGAAGACGTCTTGCTCCTCTGCGGCGGCGCCGACGACCGACCGCCTCCGCAGCCCGAGCGGCGGATTTCTAACCGGAAGTCGTCGGAGGGGGAGGGTTCTTCCTGTACTTCCGTTCTTCCGGTGACAGGGGAGAGGCAGAGGAAGGATGGATTGCTTCTACCGTCGAGCCACCGTGTGATTTTCCCTGGTGGAGAGGGAATGCGAGAGCGTTGGAGCGATTTGCGGCCGGAGGATCTGATGTTTCTGCGATTGGAAGGTAGAAGCGGAGAAGTAAGAGAAAGAGGCAGCAGGATCGGGTCGAGAAGGAGCGAGTCGGCGCTGATTTTGGAGCGGCCGCCGGAGGAGGAGAGAACGATGCAGAAATGGGTTGGCTTTGCGGCTATGAGGACGGCGAGGTGGCCGGGAGGAGGTCAGCATAGCGGTGGCTAGCTTTGTAACTGATCTTGGGCGATCGGGAAGATGATTTAAGCTGGTGGCGGGTATCTTGTGTAGGAGATCCTTGCCCCACTACAGTGTCAGCTAGCTTCCTCTGCCATTGATAATTACAGTATGCTAATGCTCCTAATATCTGCTAATGTAATTATTAAGCCAATAAGGGATTTCGAACTTTGTCAGAGACTGACTTGGGCTTCGAGCGTTGTGCTGTCGAAAGGGAATTTCCTGATTTTGTGGGGGCTAATGAGTGGTTTAAGTTTTAATTATTATTACACCGCTAACCTTCATTAATTTGTTGGATGTCAAATAAAAGATTTTGAAATTTTCTCCTATGTGATAGGAGTGACTTTCACTTTAATTGTCTCAAAATTTTTTTTTTTTAAAAAAAGCTTTAATTATTTTAATTGATCTTATTGTCTATGATTAGACTTAATTTGTTCTTCAGCTTTCAAAGATTAAGATGCGATGAAAGGTTAATATTAATGTTGCATCTTGTAAAATTCATGATGATAGAGAGATATGAAACTTAAAGTCTTAGTTTTAAATGCAAACCCAGCACACACAGATAGATGGAAAAGAGGGGTGCAGTATTCATAAAAGACACCAAAATTTATACATGAAAAATCCTGAAAAGAGAGAAAAATTACAGAGTCTTGTCTAGTTGAAATGGTTCCACAAGTATTCGTGATTAATTACAAATGATGTCCTTCCCTAGGGGGAAGGCTTTGGCTCAATGTACCAAATACATGTTATATATAATTCATTACATGACAGTTGTTCTTAAGATAATATTAGCATGTTTGTTTGGTTAGTAAGACCATGGTCAGGCAATGAAAGTCAGAGGGATCCTAGTCGGCAAGTGACAGAGGTCAAAAGAATTGTGGTCATGAGGCGACGATGGTCGAAAGTCAAAAGAATTGTAGTCAAGCGACAACAATTGGAGGGGTCGATGTAATTGGCAAGCAATATAGTTCGGAAGGACTGTAGTGGGGCGACGGTGGTCGGAAAGATTGTAGTGACATGTGATAGTGAACGGAAAGACTATAGTCGATAGGTAACGTTCGTGGTCGGTGGGCGATTGAGGTCAAAAGAACCATTGTTGAACGACATAAACTCATCCATAAACTCAAGATTAAGGAGAAGATAATATACTTAAGAGATTTTCAAACTTCTGAAGATTGATCCCGTTGATGTATATTGAATAGCAGAGAATTTTCCATCAATGTCTGGCAATAGCTAGAGATTCAATATTAATTAGCCGTTAGGTAGATGTCTGAAAATGTTTGATTATTGGGAAAAGATCCAACATCAATTAAAGAATAGTCGAGAGTCAGATGATGGTCAGTGGTCGGAGTCCCACGATGGTCAGCGATCAAGAAGAGATCCGGCTAGTGGTGCAAGTTTGATAAAGCAAGAGAGATCCTTCATTTTTCTTCTCTTACCCCTCCTTCTGAAGAATTGGGGATCTATTTATATTTTTTTTAGTGGAATGGCTAGTAAATAATGAGAAGATCAATGATAGCTTGGGATTGTTTCAATGGACAGTTGTTATTAAATCCCTCGATCATGGATCATTTATCGAGCATTTGTGTATCTTAATGATGTCATAATTCTAAAATCTTGGGCTCGTTGGATTCTTCTCGTCGAGTCGCCCGATTCGACTACAAGTGTCACATTTGGATATCATTGGTTCATCTAATTAATATTTTTATGTTTTTAAATAGGTTTCGGGCCCTCGATTTGGACTCATTTGGGTTCAGATTGTACCTATTTTTGTGTCGTCGGTTCATCTCTTCGAGACATTTAGTTTAACTAGGGTTGTCAATTTCAGGTCACAGGTCAGGTTTGGGTCGAACTCAAAATTAACCCGGCACTATTTGGGTCAACCTGGACCAACCCAATTTTGCAAATGGGTCAGTTTTGTAGACCCGAACCCGACCCGCTTTGGGTCTAGGTCCACCCGACACGACCCAAATGAACCAAAACCATGAAAAATTATTAGTTTTCGGGTCAAAAAATGGGTCAAACTCAGCTTTTTGGAACAGAAACGGGTCAATCTTGGGTTTTCGTGTCAAAATGGGTTTTTAGGTCAAAAAACGTGTCATTTTCGGGTCAAAGGGTTAACCTAGCCCTGATTTTTGAAACGTGTCGAATTGTTGAACTAGAACCCTACCCGTTTCGGGTCTGGGTTGACCATAATCCGGAATTTTCGGGTAGGATTCGAGTCGGATTTTTGAGTTGTGTCAAATATTGACACCCCTAAGTTTAACTATAAATTTACTGAAATCGTAGTTCATATCATTCAAATTTTAATTTTGAAATTTTTTTATTAACATTTGCATCAAGATTCATTCCGTCAATATCATTTTTGATGACATATCAATTAAGAATAAATATTGTCTATCTCTAAAATTCTATCTAGAAAAAAAATTATCTTAATCATAAAAAGATATTAAAAAATAATCAAACATTATAAAAAATTAATTTGAACAAAAACAAATCTCGATGCACATCTGAATATAAAGCTTCTAAAATTAAATCTATGATCATTCAAACTCTAGTTTTAATAAATTTTATAGGCAAACTAATCGATTGAATGAATAAGATACAAGGACCATGGCTTTATCTATACGCAAAAATTTGATTCAAATTATTCGGCCGAAAGAATGAGTTTTTAATTCATTTTGAGATTGTGTAATATAATTTTTTTAACTTAAAATAAATTTAAAAATTTTAAGCCTCATTCTATTTAGCATTTGGTGAGAAAAAATTGCATTTCCTACCTTCAGTGCAATTTATAATAGCAGAAGTTCAAAAATCATGCCTACGATTAAGCCTCAAAGTACAACAAGAAATTCCAATACTTTTTTTTTTTTGTGAAATTTTATTTATTCGAGCCGCAAGGAGATTTCCTCGTTTAACACAATGCAACGAAGTCATATCTTGTGAGATGGCTAACTCAAATTTGAGCTTACACCTTGAGCTTAAGCTCCACTTATTGAAAAAATAGTAAGCCGAAGAGGAGAAACGCTTCGTCTTCCGGTTTCCGTCGAGCAGCTCGACGAGTAATCAAGCCTAACACGGTGAGGATCGAACTCGAGCTTGATAATCCAATGAGCTTCTCGAGCTCAAGCTCGAAACTCGATAAGCTCGAGTTGGCTCATGAGTCGGCTTAACTCGGTTAAACCCCTTGGGGGAATATTTAGGCAAATTTAGTCAAGCTCATACACAAATCATATAGGGGAAAATTGTTTCCCTGAGCCCCATCAAGGCTCTTTTCGTGGTTTACCATCGTTGTGGATTTCTAAGGATGAAATTAAAGTTATTGCTGTGCTTTTTCAATTCGCTTTGGTCGATCTTTTCCCCACGTGTCGTCCGTCTCTGAACGCTATTCACAAAAAATTTTTCACGCTGAAACTTAATTTTGATTTCTCTTTTACGGTGTTGGATTAGACGCATGTGCTAGTTAAACTTTCTAACGACCTAGACTATAGCCGTGTTTTTTGTCATCGTTCTTATCTGGTGAATAACTATTTCATGAAGCTCACTAAATGGTCTCCGTTCCTCGACATTGGTGTGAATCTTCAGTCATACCGATTCAGGTTTCCTTTCCTAATCTGAGACCTCATCTTTTCTCTCATCATATCCTACGCACATTAGGTTTTATATTTGGTACTCCCTTGAAGGTTGATTCTGCCACTTCGGTAGGATCTAGGCCTTCCCTTGCCCGTGTGTTGGTGGAGCAGGACATTACTAAAACTTATCCTTCCTAAATTTGGCTCGGGCCAGAGGTTTCTGAGTATATTCAAAAGGTACAATTTGAGGTTTTTCCCGATTTCTATGTCTTGTAAGTGTCTGGGCCACCTTAGAGGTTACTGTACTTCGGCTCCTCTGTCTAATTCTAATACACTTATAGCTGGGAATGTTAAAAGTCGTGCTTTGGGTATGTCCTCTTTAGCTGTTAATGAGGTGATGATTAGAGAGGATCTAAACCCTTTGGTTAACCCGATTTTAGGGACTGTTGGCTGTGAGGTTGTTATTGTGGCTTTGGCTGAGTATCCTGATGCTTCGGGTGAGGGTGTTTTGATTGAGTCCCCTGTGGTTGATTGTGATTCTCCTGGTAGGCCTATTTCTAATGTGGTGCTTATGGATCCTGTGGTGGATGAGTCTGTTCCGGACATTCATGGCCAGCGTTTATGTGTTAGTGAACTTGGGGGTGGTAATTGTGACGTTAACCCGCAACCTATTATGTCATGTGCTAATTCTGTGTCTGCCATATGTGGCTTAGTTTCGGCTGAGGTTCCTTGTGTGCTTGCTGAAAAATCGGATTCCTCTATTTCGATATCAAAGAGTATTGCCCCCACTATCTCTTCCACTGTGACGCCTGCTGTTATAGTTCCGGACTCCTTTGTTAATGTTCCAGTTAATTTAATATCACATGAAGCTTTGATTTATCATATGGGGGACAATTCGGGGGAGGATGTGATATTGCAAATTGATTGGCTTCATTGTTCGTCCGATTCCTCTTCGGAGTCTGGTGGGGATGAAGAACCTGGAGATGGTTTTGCCTTGCAGCATGACAGAGTTGTTGTTTATGTCGCCTCTTGTGGGAGGGGCAGATGTGGTAGGAAATAACTTTGGGAATGTGGTGGTGATTTTTGGCTCACTTGTTGGTTTCTTACCTGGTTTTCTCGTGCCTGGTGTTGTTGTTTGGTTGGATTGGTTGGAAGGCTTATTGTCTCATTTAGGCTGTGGTTGTGGGTTGCATTGGTTGCTAGGCTCTTTGGTTTATTTTTCCTTTCTATGCTTGTCGTTTATAAGATCTTCGTTTCATTTTTGTGGCTTCGATTTATGGTTTGTGGGCAATGATGTGGCTAGGGCTCGCTTGTCTTAAGTCATATATCGTGGAACCCTTTGGTGGTGTGTTTTTTGCTTGCTTCAGATGTCTTCTCTCTTACTCCAAACTGGATGGCCCGTGCCTGACTTTGGATTAGGTTGGAAGCCTCTGTCAATGCTGAGCCAGTGAGCCTGGTGGGTTTAATCCCCCATCCTTTTGTACCTATATAGCTTTTCTCGTTCTGCTTCATAGCTTGTTGTAATCCCTTTTTTAGTTGCAATAATTTTTTAATAATAATAATAATAATATAGAGGAAGCTTCAAACTGAAGACTTCTTAATTGATAGTTAAACCTACCAACCAACAGATGAAATAACATCTGTATTATAAACTACAATTATAATAGATTTCATTAAAAAAAGTTTTCTCATATTAATTTTAAATATATATATATATATATATATATATATATATATATCATAATTAAACAGATACTATAATAATTAATCTGAAATAACAAATATGTGGGACCCTTGATTAAGTACAATATTTCCGTCCACTTTGGTGAGGTTTTTAATGTTTTTATTGCCTTTTTTGTCTGTTTCGCTTAATGAACAAAACTTTATTAGATTAATTAATATTTTTTCATTAATATAAAATCATAGCTATCTCCTACAGGGCTTTCGCAGTTTGAACGCTTCCCCCACTACAGTTCAATCTAAAATAGCACATCACTGACGTTTCCGTATACTTCAACCAGTACTTACCAATTAAATAATTAATTAATTATATTCATCTTAATCATAAACAATTTTTTTTGAATTTCTTGCAATATTTAAAATAAGTGTATATTTCAATATTCATTTGACTATTTATATATTAACTTTAATTAGCTTCGGTTTCGGACGACTTCTTACTACTCTAAAGCTGCGTTTTAGTATCAAAATTTAATTTTTATACAAGAAGCTGTTTTCGGAAGTAGTAAGCAAAGCCGTCCTAAATAAATGGATTCGTTTGGAGGTTGCATTCTTTACTTCGCTTCTTAAAGTAATTTATATTATCTACACAATTCTTAAAATATATATATGCTTTTACTCTATTACTGAACTATCCAAAATTCTTTAAAAAAACAGCCTAAATGGCATTCAAATATAAAAATAGGCTTTCTGATTTTTCATTGTCTATTAGAGACTAAATAAAGCCTTCTTACATTATGTAGAAGAACATGAAGCAATAGAAAATTGACACTTGTTTGTTTTAATTTTTGTTATTCAATAACTTATCGATCATTTATTAGCTATATATTTTTTTTTAACTGTCTTCTTCAATGAATTTAAATTTTCTATAATTATAAAAAGTTTTTGCAACCAGGTAGATAAAATTTCCTTTTCATCCACCGTAATTTCACAATCAATTTTATAAAATAAAACATGGATAGTGTACTTGCCCAAACAGACTCTTAATCTTATAAAATCAAAACCTATCAAACTAGTTTTTTCCCAATCCATAATTTGATCGCGTGCAAATTTCTTAGTAATTGTCCTACTTGAGGAGATTTATACCATATGTTGTACCTAGTATTACATAGTATTTCTAGAATTTAATTGTATTTAATATATATAATTAGCTAGGAAGAAGGAGGATATCGAAATCATATTTTTTGGAATGCATCTTTTTGTTGTTTTGCTCTTTGATGATGTTTGGTTACCTTTTCAATGAATTCATCCTATAGTCAGTTTGGTATTAAAAGCTAGAGCTTTTGAGAGACACAGAATACGATGGAAGAGCTACACTCAACCCTGACGCGATATTGGCGGTTTGAATGCCTTGCGTAAAGACCATTGGATAAAGGAAGTATATATCAATCCTTGATGATGTCAGGGTTTTAATGCTTTTGTTGTTCAGCGCAAGCACAGCATCACTAAGACGGGCAACTATATTCGAGCAATTTGATACAACTGCTTGGCATCATACCTATGCAAATAACTTTCAAAAGTTCACTCCTCACGTCGGGAAGAGAAATCAACCAGCAACCTCATATTAGGCAGTGTTCATTCGTGTACACGCATAAGGGATGACCTCACCGGGTTTCTGTCGATCGGCTCGTCCCGCATCTGCTACGTACTCATTCTCAGTTACCAGCCCTTGCATATCACATCTTTAAATGTCACAAGGTGTCATCCCGTTGTAGAGTTCAACCGAACCACGTACCTTGGCACACCTGAAGATTAGGTCCAATGTTCTTTTCCTGGCAAACAATTATGCAACTGTATCAAATTCATCGACCGCAAACACCAGTTTCTACGGTCAGATCATCTGCCTGGAGATTTTGAAGAGAGGATCCGATAACAAAGCTGTAACGCATCACACGGAAGAGCAAACATTTCACAAAAATTCTCACACAGCAGCAAGTTCAAGTACACATCAGCCAAATCTATCAGGAATGTCGCAATATTGACAATTTTCTTCTCCTTAATTTTTATGAAATTTTACTCCATTAATTTAAACTTTGCCCACGCATGATTCTTTCCTAAAATTTTACCTTTCTTTAGCCAACACACAGTAGAATTCTACCACCTTCTTCCTTCAGCCAAAAGGCAGCTGGACATTCATCTTCAATGTATATTCTCCGCAAACCATTTACTTCGATCGATAGCAGCAACCCTCAATGGCCAGGGTCCATCTATTTTCTGCAGTCCAGTATCAGCTGCAGTTTCATCATTTCATCCGCAATCAAAAATATGGGAATTACATTCTGTCATCTGTACATTTCATCCACAATCAGCTACAAAAATATATTTTGCAAGAACAGTAGTGCTGTTTTCAAGATCTTATTCTCTTGAGTTGTTTAAACCTTTCTCTTCTCCCATGATTCTCTATCGTGGAATTCTGAAAACAAGGGGATATGATGCACTGTATCTTAATAATTGTGCATCGTATAGCTGCATCTATCCATTGTATATAAATAAAATATAATGCTTAAACTAAAGAGGAAGGTAACACTTACTCTATGTTTCTCGCAAGAGAGTTTTATTATACAACTTTCAGTCAGGTGGTGTCATCCCTGGTGAGAGTCAGGCTTGTTTTGTTCTCGAGACTCCGACTCACGCCCTGTTTCTGGTGCAGGGTGGCTCTCTGGTCCTTCTCCAGGGATCGGTGTCATATTGTTTCATTATTCACATATTATATTTCACAGTTCAAAACGTCTTCTCTTGTGTATCTCCACAGTAATTTCTCCAATGAGTGATACTTAATTCACATCGTCAATCTTTCTCATACTTTAACTGATAAACTAATATAAAATTAAGATAATAAAATTGTGAAACTTTTATGATGCCTCCACCGTAAAAATCCTAAATTTGTCTAGTGGTCCTCACGGCCACCTTCCCCCCCCCCCCCCCCCCCCCTCACAAAAAGATAAGATGCGATATGCTGACCATCTTGGATTTGCCCGAAACCATATAAGTGCAGTAGGCTTACTTTTTTTTTTATGTTAAAGATTTTTTTCAGTTTAGATAAATTCGCTTATACGAAATTTAAATTAAACTTTTTAGTTGTGGTGAAACTATTAACCAGATGAGTTGCGTGCAGTAAGCTAAATGGCTGATGTCCTTATCGCCATAACCCAAAGACTTATAATTTTTCAGAAGACCAAATCAGCAACAATCCCGCCAGCCACTTATTATAATCCGACGCCCACACTTACAATTTTCCAATCGAAAAGAGTCAGTCTTCTCCTATATAACTCTTCCTCCTTTCTCTTTCGGTGTTCTAACAAAAGCGCTTTCACGGGAATTTTCTAGCTCATCCAATGGGCACATCTGCGGGTAATCTAAAACACAGTTTCAATGATCTTGATTCAATGTAAGTTCTCTCTTACTCCTATTATGATCACTGCGAATATTTCTCTCTATATGTTATCAAAGAAGAAGATATCAGAGCGCAATTGCTCGTCGACATCGATCTCGCATCTCCGCTCGTCGTGCCGGGAGCCGTGAAGATGAGCGTTCGGAGCCTCTGCAAGGCGCTGAAGAAGTCCGGCGAGCAGATACTTAAAGGAGTGAGTTTGGAGCTGGCATTAGGTCAGGTGTGGGGATCATTGGACCGAGCGGCAGCGGCAAGTCAACGCTCTTCGACGCTCTGAACCGCCTATGGGAACCTACGGCAGGTGCCGTCTTTCTGACGGAGCCGACATTCGCACGCCTTGACGTGCTTGCCCTCGCCGCCGCGTCGGCATGCTGTTCCAGCTC